AAATTTGTAGTTTTAAACAATTTCTATATAAAATGTTCTTCTGTATGAAAGTGAAGAATTTGACAGAAATGTCATTTGGAGATGTTGAACGATACTTTTGTGCATCATGAACCTAGTTTCTTTTCTGACTTCTTAATGGTTCAGGACATACTATATCTGTTTCCGATCCCTTTGATTCGCTTTGAAAATAGACACATTGTTTAATTTATATCACATGATTTGATTGAAATAAGCTTTTATCTTAATATGTCGTGAGTTCTTTTTAATAACGATGCATTTGCATAATGTTTTAATGATTCTTAACGAAATTTCGTTTTCACAAGTGTACCCTTTAATGATCTGACAACATTATACCGTATTATTCAAATTTAACTACACATCACGGCTCTTGAAGCGTGCAAACTATATAGAGGGATTGACAATAAAAAGGAATTAATTGAAACAATAACAGTGGAAATACCTATTGGAAATCCCTCAATGGCTGCATTAATTGTTTCAGTAAATGCTGATCAATGTTGCAGGTGTTGCATGTCAAGCAGGATGCAGGACATACTGTAATGGATGTCTCATTACTTGCGTTCCTTCTTCACTGATAGTCTTTTCAGTCATCTTTCGGTGTCCTGCTCAGGATTTCTAAATACAAATGCTCCTTCTCCAATAGATTTTTCAGTCGTTTTTCGGTGTCCTGCTCAAGATTTTTTTAATTATAAATGCTCCTTATTCAATAGTCGTTTATGTCGTCTCTCGGTGTCCTACTCTGGATTTTTAATTACAAATGCTCATTATTAAATAGTCAATTCAGTCGTGCTACTCTTGATTTCTAATTACAAATGCTCCTTCCTCAATAGTCGTTTCAGTCATCGCTCGTGTCCTATTCAAGATTTTCTAATCACCAGTGCTCCTTCCTCAAGAGTTGTTTTAGTCTTCTCTCGAATTTGTTTGAAACTTACAAAATAGTTCTTGCAATGAGTCTTGTCTGGTTAACAATATGGAATATGGAAAAAACTTACAAAATAGTTCTTGCAATGAGTCTTGTCTGGTTAACAATATGGAATATGGAAAATATAGTTTGCATTTTCAAGACGACAACAAATTAACAATAAATCCGAAAAGAGAGTAGATGCAATGAAGGGCTGTATTCATATATAACTGTAAAATGAGCTTTAATGACATGTCTTTGATTTGTTAAGCTGTTAGATTTATTATAGACTCGGGAAGTGAAGAGCTTGATAAATTGCATAGATACCTGTCTATCGTCGAAGACTGTACGAATCCTTCTAGATTTTTTACGTTGTTTATGTCGTTGGGTTGCTGTCTCATTGACGTACACCCACACCTTCTTTTTATTCATATTTTTGGATATAGGCAGAGTTGTAGACTTGCTACATGTCCCTTCCTTATTTTCTTTTTTACAGTTTTGCCCCTTTATCAATTTTACTGCTATAACTAAGAGATTACCATTATACTGACATCTGCAGGGCAATCAGTATACTGGCAGTTTTTAGTAAACATGTAAATTAGTAAGAAAGAAATAAAAGAAAGGGAAATGTAGCAAGTCTACTGAGCAGAGTTGTTTCAGTGGTTCTTTAAACTGCAGAGAGCGTGACACTCTCGTAACAGGAGGCATCGATTGTAATGTCCCTTATCCGACTGGACGTAACTTCGTATTTATACATCCCACATACCTAAACGGACGTCACTATCCCCACCGGCTGTGTATATATACATCCTGCACAGTCAAATTCGGAAAGATGGATTTAAATAAACACAATTAACATATACAATTACATTTGTAGCAAGAAGGACCGATGTAATCACTGTCAGTCAGTCAGTTGGATGGCTCCATGCGCCAGATTCCACTGTACAACACATGGTTTCAAAGTTACACTGAAAAGTTTTCAATTTACTCAACCTTGATTAGTCATGATACTCAGTCACGGTCATTATTCAAACTCGCAATTCCGTTAGTATGTTTATGGGCAGGCATTTTCATCAACGGGTGAAATTTTGACATGGACGTCACAGTGTAATCTAGAAAGAGAAAACAAATGAAAAAAGTATGTAATTTAGCCATTTTTAAAATCATTCATTGCAACGTTCATCGAAGAGTTATATATGTTCTCAGAAATATAATTTTTTTAATTAATATAACATCTTTGCCCTGACTGAGTCAACTATTTCAGTGATCTCTAAGTCAAAGACCATAAAAAAATTGCGAAATCATTATCTATCCACTATCAGTTTTCCGGATTAAAATCTTGTGGGTTTATTGTTTCTATAACGGTATTTGTATTCCTGGTTTATACTCATTTACAGAAAATTGACTAATTAGATTTTATCTATTTTGAATGAAACCGCCTTGGTTGTATATCGCCATTAAGTTTCAGTACCAAGAGTGACAACTCTTGCCTGTAAAATTTCAATAATTCCATCATTCTTTTGGATATAACGTAAGGTTGTATATATATTTTCTGTCGTTCTTCTTAGGGAGCTACCATTTGAGATTACAACTCAAAAAAAATGCAGGACAAAATTTTTCATCCTAGCCCCCATAAAAATCAAATGGCAGCTCCCTTATTGAACTTGCTTGTGTTGTGTTACCTCTCAGTGGCGTAGGAGCCACTTTTCACTTTCAGAAGACCCCCCCTTTCACACCCACCCATACTTTTAGTCTACTCTTACGCAAATGCCTCTGTTTGTGTAGTGGCCAAGAGTACATATTCTGTCATATCATATCAACTGAGGCTGCGGCAGATCTTGACAATAAGGAAAACTGAAACATCGCGATTGTCATAAATTTTGTTTGGAGTTTTCCATCGATTTCGATTTGAAGAAAAAGTATGTCTATTACACCTAGTCCTTAATTTAGGGTTCATTGAGATAAATGGGATGCAAGTACTCACTGAAAGTGAAATCTTTGGTAGTTGCTGTTCAATTAATTTACAGCATTTCTAGACTAAGGTTGATTTGTCTATATAAATTAAAGCATTTAATTTGCTTATACGCCGAAATACTGCATCATATGAGTGCAAGAGCAATTCAGCTAGTAATGGTGTACAATTAGTTTGAAATACCGACTGTCTGCTTTGACATGGAATTATCAAACTCAACAGATATGTTTGCGACTTTGGTTATATGCTACTTTTCTATATCGTCATTTTAATCCGTGTTGTCCTTATATACTTACTTAAGCACATTTTTTTTACCTAGCACAAGACATCTGTTTACTTTTATTTCATGAGAAGTTGCAGTATATAATTAAACGTAAGATACTGCTTTGTGTGCATGACACAAATTTCTGGAATATCCATCAGGTATACATGCTCTTGACAAAAATCTTGGGATGCCAGAAACATATGTTGTGGAATAAAATTCAAAGAAACTAAGTTTAGATCAATCAAAACCTGTAAATAGCAATATATAAACTGATGGAGAGGGGGATTCTTAGATTTAGTGAAATTCGTTGTAAGAATGTTGGCGGGAAAGGGGGGTGGGGGTTGTGGAAGATATAAACAAGAGTGTGCACACTGAAATATCTCACTTACTTAGCTGATTGTGATTGCATGTTATGTTGAAAATCTTCAAGAAGAAGGTCTCAATATAGATTAATCATCAAAGTCAGATTAACCCTGTCAGATGGCAATGTACACCTAACAATCATTATATACACCTAATTTAGTTGATCTATTACTTACATTGTCCATGAAATAGATACAAATTTTGACCAAAGAACCATGAACCTGATGTCAAGATCAAATGAACCCTATCAAATGGTCATGTTCACCTTGCAATGATTCTATTTACCAAATGTAGTTGTTTTATTACTCTTTATAACTTAAAATATCACATGGTAAAAAAAAATATACAGATTTTATAAGCAGTCACTAAATCGTGAAAATCAACAGATGGAAACTTCAGACCATAACGTATCTGTAAACAAGATATGAAGAACTGTAAATTCAGAAAGTATTGCGTGCATTTATTATTGCTTTTTTTTAAGAATGGACAAAAATGAGAGATTTATTATTGCGATTCAATGAAAGACAGCATACAGATATATGTATCAGATATCACAATGTGAGTTCTTATTATTGTGATACTCATCCAGTCGCATTATTCGCATTAATAAAAACCTCGCAATAATTTCTGAATTTACAGTAACCAGGTATTCTACCTTCTGAAATATAAAGCTTAAAACAAAGAGATAATGCCACTTTCAAATTAGCATCCCAATGTCTCTTATTCTGTGACATTCATTGCAGGCAAAACAAACCTACTGTAATTCAATGTATATATAAATTTAGGTATCCAATTTAAAGATAGATCATGGACGCCATGGTCTTTCATATTAAGACCTAAGGGAGACAACCAGATTTATAATTTTCTAACATTTCCTCCTACTCTGATATTAAGACATAAGAGAGACAACCAGATTTATAATTTTCTAACATTTCCTCCTACTCTGATATTAAGACATAAGAGAGACAACCAGATTTATAATTTTCTAACATTTCCTCCTAGTCTGATATTAAGACCTAAGAGAGACAATCAAATTTATACTTTTCTAACATTTCCTTCTAGGTTATGGATATAAGTGTATAAGTAGGAACCTCTGTGGTTAAGTGGTCTAAGTAGTCAAACTACTGTATCACTAGCCTGTCAGCACTGAGGTTGTGAGTTCGAAACCTGCATGTGGCAGGTGCACTTGACTCCAATCTTAATTGACTAGGATTGTCAGTTTTCCTACCAAAGGTCGATGGTTCTCTCAGGGCACTCTGGCTTCCTCCATCAATAAAAATTGACTGCCACGAAATAGCACAATAGTGATGAAAGTGATGTTAAACAACAATCAATCAATCAATCAATTTATAAGTAGAATAACAAGATACATTTGGTAAAGGTAAAGCAACAGATTATTCATAGAAAAGCAAGAACTAACTTCCTAGTCACTATGTAATTACATTGAGATCCTCAGTTGGCTAAAGATTAATGTGATATCCTTTGATAGTAAAATATTTTTATTTCATTGACAAGATAAGATAATGATTACAAAAAAGAAGTCATGAAATACACTAATCATGACACAAAAGTCAGGCAATAATCAAACTCAAAAGACATTGCTCACACAAATTATTAAAAGATTCGCATTTATTTCTGACTACAATTTATAATTAACTTTTTTAATTTTTAGAAACAAAAAAAGAAGGAAAATGTAATAATATGATTTATCTACACAAAGATAAAAATTCTGTACAATGATCTTGAATTTATACATAATGATGACATGTTTCCATTATATGAAAGGAATGTGATTTTATCTATAAAATGACTAATGATAAAATGATAATTTTGCTGCGTAGACATAAATTCGGATCAGTAAAGGTGTTCAACATTGCGATGTAATTAACATTATGCGTTTATTATGTTCAACATGAGATACAGTTTAAACTGGTTATATTTACTGATACTATATTATATAATGAATCCAATAGTCACTTTTCAAATCCCATTTACTATTCAATAGTAAAGCAAGTAAGTTTGGAAAGCATCCCTGATATCATACAATATCAATCCTTTAAATAATGAATACAAATGTAGTATTGTACTAAAAAGAATAAGATATGTTTAATCGGATATATAAATAAGTAGTGTAGAACTTCACCTTCTTTAACACCGGAAGTATCTTCAAAAACTTTTCTAGGTAATTTTTGTTCTTGTTCAGAGGGTTCCAAAATATAGAATTTAAATTCCAGGAACTAAAAAGTTATGTCTAACATATCTATACACCAAAGTTTTACTGTAATATATTCTAAAAGGTCAGGTGTTCCTACTAAATTTAGTTTTTTTTCAGAACATGCACTTTAAAATTTTGTGAAGAAATGTATACCAGCAATAATTTTTCTTTTTGATATTCTTAGTCTAATTATTTGACTTTACATAACTAATATTACATGAATATATTTTACAAATGATATCTCCTGTCTTTAAAAACCTTATTGGATTGTTTCCTCCATCTTATCCTTTCTTTAGATCATTGTATTTATAGTACAACATGAATAAAGACCTTTTTGCTGAACATATTAAGTATATTAAAATTTGCTGTTGTACCTTCATATTAATCCGTCTCAGATCAAAAAAACAATTTAAACTAACTTCACACGAAGTTGACTATTCAATTCTAAACTCACTCATTCATGTACCAAAAGAAATGATGTTTTTATCTATTGGAAAACAATATTTAGAAGAAAACAAAACAATTAACATTGATATATAGTATCTCAGAATAAAGTATGGCACTGTGATCAACACTATTATACAATCATACCATATTTTCTGCAAAAAGTGAAATAAAAATCTTGCAGAAACCTTTATAAAATCTTCAGATGTGTTGCCTTACATTAATTAGTCATTTGAGGATAACTGCAGTCCTGCACTGTAAAGTTGTATAAAAAAATCCAAATGAAGTTATGATGTCATAATAAAAAGGTGGTTGTTAAGTCTTTTTTGACAGTGCAATGATTGTACAGTATGTTAATTTTGACCAAATATTCCTAACATAAGCATATTTTTTTTTAAATCAGGTCAATCTTTTATCACCACACTGTTATAAAGTCCCAGTATATTTGAGGAAATATTTACTTCTTTCAAAGCCTTATTTTCAGATGATTAAACTAAGTTAACAATGGTGGTATGATCCTTTTTTCTATTTTCAGGGCCAAGTTAGTCCAAAAATGTATCTTCTCTTATTCAAATAGTCCCATAGAGCTGTCTTTGGGAATTATCTTTAAAATGCAGTATAATTTTAAAAAGCTTTGACTAAGTCAAATGTTTTTACTGGTTGAAAAAAATCTTCCTTTCTGATATAAACTTAAGTATCAACAAATTAAATAATAATAAATCTAAAATATATGTAACAATGAAAAATACAACAAATAAAATATAATCACTAACCGTATGTTCACAACTGTACTACACTAATCACAGTTTTCTTAATAAAATATGAAGATATTCAATCTTTAGACTAATATCGTGCAGTCAAAAAATGTAAATCTTAATAAATTTAAACAGGTTTTACTGGCATTTAAATCAATATTTAGTCCATATACTTGTAATATCCAACAGGCAAGTAAAAGAGGTAACACTGTATCACAGAAAAAAACAAACAAAATAATTAGAAATAAAATAAAATACTCAAACAAATCCAAAAGTTTTCTATTCTTTTCTTTTGTTTTTACACATATAAGTCTTAAAAACCATTTAGTTTAGGAAAAAACAACTTAATTTTTTAATATAAACATACGACCAATATTTTTTTGAGGAAGGAGACTTATTTTTTCTCATGTAAACTATTATTTTTTCACATAATAAAAACATACTACATGCGTATTATGAAAATTGTTCAACAGTTTTTATTTTGTTGAATATTTATAAATGAAATAAGAGTTATATTAACATCACGAACAATGAAATATTTGACTAGCTTTAAAACAGAATAATGCAAAACAATAAATGCAGTTTGGATATTTATATTGTATAAGATGTTTGGTATGATGAGTAGTCCTTAATGTGAACTCTGTACACGAAAACAACTATTTTTATGTCTGATGTAACATAGTTCATACAATACAATTTCGACAAACAATAATAAATATATGTCAACACGCCAAGTATCTTATTCAAAGACTCAGCAGATATTTCAATATATTTTTCATCAAATTTGGATTAATCATGGATGAGATTGTCACCAATGTCTTGATTTCAGTTGAAAGTTTAATTAGATAAATAAATACTCTTTTATTTGTACAACAATTTCAAAATTGAATAAAAATACAATCACCATATCTTCAATTTTATATATCCTCTTATAACAGAAGTTAAAATAAAACTAATTTTTAATTAATACCTTAGAAATGTTTATTTTCGAGTTTCTACTATTCAAGAAAACAAATTAACCATCAAAAACAATATTGGAGAAAAAAAAACTCAAAAAATCAACATATCGGATTGCATTGTTCAATACTAATAAAATACCACATCTAATTTAAAAAAAAAATCCAGGTGATGAAATATGCAACTAATCCAAATATGCTATGGACTACTTATCTACTAGTAAATATTAGTATTTCACAATGCAATTACTTCTAAAGTTCTAATGAAAATAATGCTGTCAGTAAATATTTACAAAAAAAGAAAATGGTCTTAACAAAATAATAAAGAATTACTGTGGATTTGTTTAATTTCGTGGGTACTAATTTTCGTGGTCTGAAGAAAAATGGTATTTTCGTGGATTTTTTTATCTCATGGTTTTGCCAAAGACTGCTTACAAGTCTATAAAATATTGGACTGTGATGAACAATTCAAATTGTGGTTCACCTGTACCCACTTCAATTGATATCCCACAAATATTATTCAATCCACAGTAATCAAACCTACACTAATATCAACCAAATAAAAACAATGATTTTCAATTTTTCTATAATACATGTACACCACAATGACTGATTTCACAACATATTGAAACAAGGAACCAGCTTGATGATATCATTTCTCTGTGACCAGTTTTTGATTCTTAATGAAAGGTGGGTCAGTCTATTCTGAAAGTTGATGTTAAAATTCAAACAAAATGATTGTAACTTTACAGATTGGTGTTTGCTGTTAAATGATTAAATGATTGCTTTATGAAATGTTTTGAGATCTACTTTAAGTCATCGTTCAAAAAATTGTATGAAACAGCACAAATAAAGATAATGTGTAGCTTACAGCTTTTCATCATATTGTATCTATAAAACCATCTACTTGGGTAAAATTGTAATATTTGTGAACCACAGATAGTTTTCAATTTCTTTATAATTGCTACTTGCTAAACAATTACTCTTTGAATTTACATTCTTCCCATATAAGTGACTAACATGTGGAATATATGAACATATGTAAAGGTAACATATGGAACACGTCACAAATATAACATATGCATCACATATACATTTATAATATAGAAAGGTGCACAGAATTCTCATACATTGAATGCTTTCCATTTATATGAAACTAAGAAACAGTGACTGGTTTCACCAAAAAATCTTACTAGAAAAAATACTCTTTTAAGTCATGAATGTTTCATTTATATCATAAGATTTTTTGTGAAAAGAGCCCCTGTTTCTCTGTAATGGTACATCTGTGATTAAACTATTCATTACATGGACAGAAAGCTATTTTTCCCCAACAGCTGTAGACAGTGTAATCATGACACTTGTCCTATTTTTTTTACATGAAAAGTTAATTTAACTCAAATTAAACAGCAATCAAAAATACCATATATGGTCATACAAAGTGTGCTACACTTTTTACTGTAACTTCTTTCCTATCAATAGTACAACTAAAAAAGTTTGCTTTAAAAATTGTACAGCATTTCTTCTGCACTGTAGCCAAAGTAAGACATATATTATTTAAAAATCTCCAAAGCTTACATGGTTTAAACCTCTGGAATGACATGGCAGCATCTGGTTTATACAACAATAGCATGTAATACACAACAAAAGTATGTCATATGTACTTGTTGTGCAAATAAGAACTTCATACGGCTAACATATACTATCAATGTCTGTGATGGCTTCACAAGTCAATTAAAAACAATTTTTTGATCAAGTATTTGGAAACAATAATATATATACTTTGGAATGTTTATTTGTGTCCTAGTTTACTCCACCACATAAATATCTTCCTGATTAAACTACTTCTGTTTTAAGCACATCACAACCAATAACAAAAAGCCTTTGTACAAAGCACTAAAGCAACAAATGGCTACAAAATGACTGTATAATGTCCTGGTGATAGATTTTCTTCACCTGTCACAGTAGCATGTAGTACTATTCAAATCAACTTGAATAATGTTAAATTATTCAAACAGTTTGTGAAAGGAATAGGTAGTCTATCTAACTCAGGTTTATTACTATGATCTATCTTCTGTTGTTGTACATGTATTTGCATATGTAGTAAGCTGCGATTAAATGCTTAGCATTAATATGTTCTTATTCAGTTTTTTTTTATATATCTATTATAAACTTTTCACATCACTACACATTTTTTTTTCTTTTCTGAGATATTAATCCCATTCTAAAATAATTAATCCACATGCGATATTAATCAATTGGCAAATAATTAATCCACTTGCATCCACTTTTAAAAAATTTTGGTGAAAATGCATCCACCAAAATGCATCATCTATTTTAATGCAAGCAACATTGTCAGTCACAGAAAAAATCATTGAAATCAACAGATTGTCCATTTGATGGTTTAAGCTTGCTATTGAGACAATACTATCATTGATGGCAGTGTTTAAGAGTGGACGGGTTTTAAATCTAAGTGGACTATTAGAAGATCTCTTCATCACATTCTCCCTCTGCCTTTTTAACCTTACAGCACATACAAAATGTAATTATAACTCCGACAATCTGAAAAATAAAAAATGGAAATTGATTATTTCAAGTTACTCTTGAGAAGCTATTTTTATTTTATTTTACTGTACAGAAATATTCTTTGATACACAGTTTCAATGCTTGCAATTATACAAATCAGAATGATAGATGTGAGGTACAGATATCAACAAAAAAGCACATTTTATATTAATGTTTTGTTTTCATGACAAAGTTGATTATATTTCTGAATTATCTCCCATTGACTGACAATAATTCCACTGAACATACTTTATAAAAATTGTCTCCCCTTGGACCATTAATGTAACTTCTGATAGTTTTTGAGAAAAATTTATAAATAAACTCACCAAAAATAAGGGAACTGCTAAAGCTACAGCTCCAAGAATTAAAGAATGTTGCTGTATATGGAGAAGCACTTTATCATAACATCCCTGAAATACAACAAGTACTATTATCAAAATATATATCAAAATATACTATATTAAAATCAAGTTTCATTTAATTCTAGACAGTGTAATGCAAGATAAACTGAGTTTACTGACATCATTCAATCCACTGCATCATTAATTTACTTATATATAATAATATGATACTGAAAGGTTTACTGTTTACATGTTCAACAAAGGTAATTTTTCAAGAAACAAATTGTTTTGACACAAACTTTTGTAATTGAAAGTTTGAATTTTGGAAGCAACAATAGCTTGATTTCATTCTAAAAAAGTATATTTGTCAATGCAAAATCGTATGTGTGGAATGGAATATGATTGATCATAAAACAAGTGAAGTATTGTTTATTACAAACAGTCATGATTGATTTTTAAATAATAAATGACTATCAATTATTTGTTTGACAAGACAGGTCATACACTGAACCTTGTCTCTTGCTAACCTATATTTATTTGTGAACAAGAAATGAGAATAAAAATTCATGAAATAAAATAAAGTATTCATTCATATGTAATTCCACACACTTAAATGACAAGGGGTGGCTTACTGCAGTGTACAATTTTTATAATTTTGAATAAACAATTCTAATTTTTTCAGAACAGTAAATGGTCAGTCCGAATTACTCCAATTATTTCAGTGGGAAATCTAGTGAATGAAAACAAAAGAAAATTCACTCTTCTTATGATAGAGTCAAGAAAGTCAATAATAAAATAATGCCGGTGACGATACTGATCAAAAGTTATTTCTAAATAATAATTGTACTTTTTAAAGAAATTATTTGTTAAACTGTGTTATTAGAAATATACATGCAAATACATGATGTTTTTATGTTCAGTATTTATCGAGATAATCATAATTGCATAAGAAGCTTGTGAAACTGAAATTTAAAAAAATGCTAATCTTTGCTGCATATTGATAAAAAAAATTGAAAAAACCATGTACATACAAAATCTAAAGATCTTTTGGGTCACCAATTTTTGGTGTGTTCAACAAAGTTCTTAGCATGTTACAATTTCCCAAAGTATACTGATTTTTTCACACCTAAGTTATCAAGCACTCTGGTCTGCTCTTGTCACATGTACTTTCAATAGAGAAATATTGTCTTTTCGTGAATATAAAAATGTAAAAGTCTGTCTGTGCAGCTTAAGAAATAAAAGATAACTATTCTTATAAAAAAGGTATCTTTCTACTATTTTTTTATACAATTTTAAGAAAAGGTTGTCTCGATTTTTGTACATGTATTTGCAGTCTTCTAGATCTATTCACATTCGAGATAAGGTCTGTTTGAATTTGCTTAGTAACTTAATTACAAAAGTGCCAATCTTTGCTGCATATCAATCGATTCCTTTAAAAATTTTTCCCTGACTTTCTCTGATCTAGCTGAATAAAATTATATACGGATAATTAGCATGTTCCAGAGAGGTATACAGCCAGCAGAAAAATAAATTGAAGTTGGTACTCCAGGAATTTATTCGCATAGCAACATTTTAAACCAATTTTACATCAAGCTTCTATAGCCTGCTGTACTCATCGTTTGCTACTTAAGGAGAGAAATGATAACATTAAATGGAAGTTTTATTTCTATTTTTACTATTTACCAGAACCTTTTCCCGTGAATCCATAACTGATAGCGTCCTTGCTAAAATGGGACAAACATTGAGAAGATTTAGTTTTCAGTGTTTACAGGGGAGGTAATATTTTGTCACTAGATTTCCCACTGATTTGGTTGCTCATATGTTATAAATGGAAAAATTAAAGCATTTGATATTTTAAAGTTCTTTTAACCGTGTGTTTGGATAGTTACTTACATCTGTATACAAATGTGGGTTTACAGGATGTCCTGGTTCATGAGGCATAGATGGAGGACCCATAAACTTTTTGCCCTGACACATTTCTAAATCAGCATTTGGTGTACAACAGCTCTCTGGTACAAATGGTACCTCTGAAAAAGAAAATCATGAAATAGAGAAATACAAAATTCTATTATTATAACTCTAACTTATCAACGGGTTTGTAGACCACCTGAGATCACCCCCCGTTTTTGGTTGGGTTCCTGTTTTACTCAGTCTATAGTTTTCTATGTTGTGTTTTGTATAATGTTGTTTGTCATTTCGTAGTTTTTTATATTTTGCCATGGTATTGTCAGTTCTTCTTTTACTTGTGAGTTTGAATGTCCCTTTGAGTATCTTTTGCCTCTCTTTTATATTTGTTGGTACAATTTTAATTGAAATTTTGCAGTATATACAAGTATTATATTTAAGTAAAAGGAGATATGTGGAATATACCACCAACACAAAAATACTACAATAAAAAAGATATCCTGAGGTTATCTTAAAGGGAACATAGTCCAGCCCTTATCATGCACACACAGTTGTATTTCGGTTTTCTAATGCAATATCTTGTATTTATATAGCCAAGGATGAAAAAAATGACATGCAGGAAGCATTTAAGTTGTATTCAAATCAATTCAAGGAAATATTCTTAATATATTTGAATAATATTCAAGGAAATGCTGTTTATAAAGAAATGATACATATCTTTTTCAGATTTCCAAAGGATTAAAATACTTATTCTTGGAGTTTATGTTTTAATATTGTGAATTTCAACAGGATAAAGTAAACAAAGAATGTGTTTTTTCATGTGTTACATAAAAAATATGGATAAAGTTTTTCAATAGAGAAGACGTGAAGAAATGCTCACAAATATCATGTTTTTAAGAAGGTAAGAACAATAATTATTACAAGCTATATACATTTCACATATATTGTAAATAGAAAAATATTAGTTGACTCAATTTACAAAAGACATTTATTTCATAGTCTTAGATCTAAAGATACCAAAAAAGTCTTTTGATCTGTTTATTTACCAATTGTGTACTATTACCTATTGTGACATTTTGACTGAGTGTGGATTTGCATGGATAGGAGGAGACGATTTCACTGTCAACACACCCTGACTGACTCTCTCTCCGTTTGGAATTCATGGAATTCCCTATGGTTTTTCATCTTAATTTGTACATTCTTACTGGATTTATGAGATTTGAACATGGGTAAAGAACTGTTGCCTCTAATATATACCGATATTCATTTATAAAATAGATGTAAGAAAGTTTTCCAAGTTAGATATGATTTGCAACAAAATATAACTTGCAACTTACTGTACAACATATTTTCATGATTTGATAGCCATTGAACCTAACAAATATTTGATCATTCATATACTAGAAAAAATGTGTATACACTTACGCTCAGTTCTACTTCTGTACCAATGACTTCCATCTCTATAAATTTCCCAGGAATTTTTTGAGTATGAAATATTTCCTGTAACTCCACAACATCCAAGCTGTAAATTTCAAAGAAAGGTAAAGTAACATTGCTTGGCAGATAAATCAAAACAGGATAGACATTTTTTAATAAATTTGGTTTACTTGGTACTTTGCACATGCAAATTAATTTTCCTCAGTATACTGGATACATAATGTAAGGAAACAATTGCTAGACAAGGAGAGTTCCTAAAAATTCAGTTTTATTAGTCCATTACTCAGTTTTTATATTACAAAAAAATTTGACAGTACTATCAAATTGAGAATGGAAATGGGGAATGTGTCAAAGAGACAACAACCCGACCATAGAACAGACAACAGCAGAAGGTCACCAACAGGTCTTCAATGCAGCGAGAAATTCCCGCACCCAGAGGCGTCCTTCAGCTGGCCCCTAAACAAATATATATACTAGTTCAGTGATAATGAACGCCATATTAAACTCCAAATTGTACACAAGAAACTAAAATTAAAAATAATACAAGACTAACAAAGGCTGATGGCTCCTGACTTGGGACAGGCGCAAAAATGCAGCGGGGTTAAACATGTTTATGAGATCTCAACCCTCCCCCTATACCTCTAGCCAATGTAGAAAAGTAAACGCAGAACAATACACACATTAAAATTCAGTTCAAGAGAAGTCCGAGTCTGATGTCAGAAGATGTAACCAAAGAAAATAAACAAAATGACAATAATACATAAATAGCAACAGACTACTAGCAGTTAACTGACATGCCAGCTCCAGACTTCAATTAAACTGAAACTAAAATTCAATAAAATATGGCTATATTAAGGTAGATGGGGTGTCTAAATTATAATCCATAGAATTTTTTAATAATTTGCCAAAATGTGGTTTATATCATGCTTTTTAAAAAAAAATAATAAAAAGAATGGGTCACGGGGCTTATTTTCACGACACAGGTTGTGCAAAATTGACAGATTTTGTATAGATTATGCATGGAAAACCCAATTTTCTGCCATAAAACGAAAACTATACCATAGAATTTTGAGATAGAATATAAGAAGATAGCTCTAATAGTATGCTTTCAGATAAGAAAAAGAAAAAATGGGGTCACGGGACCCGTTTTCTTGCTACATAATAAAATAGGTAAATTCCTTACACATTCTATTGTAAAAGTAACTTTATCTGAATTATCTGCCCTTACATTTGAGTTGCCTCCCCTTATGTGGCAAAGTTGGAAAAAATAGAATCAAACAAAAGTATTCTGTTTTTTTTGTAAAATACAACCATAAATATGATAAAATATGCCATTTTATATATTGAAATGAAAATGCTTACACATGAATTACCTACTACTCTCAAAATTTGCACCTTTTATTAAAAATCTAGACCGATTGTTTTCTGGTATTTCAAAATCCAAGATGGAGGAAGACACCCTATCTACCTTAACCTCAAAATTAAATTATCATTTGCATAATAAAAAAAGTTAATTTATGGGAATTAGACCCTGTCTGTCTTCATATAATAGACATAAAGGGATAAAAATGGTCTTCTCAATTAATGTGATATTTTAATATGGAAGATTTAATTTTCAATTAATTTTGACAAGTTTTTCTATGTGTTCTTGCCAAAGTTTCTCTGTAGAATGCAAATACTTTTTACATTTTTATTATACATTTCACAACAAGAGACAAGGGCACTTTATATTCAGTTCAAATTTTGTATGTTTGTTTCTTTAGATCCATTTGGATTTTGTTTGTTTGCAGTTTTTAAGAAGTTCTGAGTTATCCCTTAGGTTTTCTTTACAAAATATTGTTGAGGAATTTAAAGTAGAAAACAGACAGAGATGTGAAATTTTTGCATTTAATTCATCACATAAACATGGTAGGAAGTTTGAACAATTTTTGAAGCTTTTAATAAAACACCAATAATCTATAAAGAACATAGCTGCTTTATCACATTTTACTTTCTTTGATTTGCACATAAAATTTAAAAAAACATTCATAAACAAAACACATGGATGTTTCCTATGAAATTTGATGCCAAGGCAATAACTTATTCCAATTAGTAAACGGTATATATATGTGAAGGACAAATCACTTTGTTGTTAATGGGAAAATTTATCCATTATTAACAGGAGTTATGAATCAATAAGTTTATATATGGGTATTTATAATTGATATCTGTTTAATAACCTCGTATGATGTCATTCATATAAGTTACAATGAATCACTCATTAGATGTTTCAGAATAAATACCTAATGATACAATATGGTCAGTCATTGTATTACTAACAAAATTCAAAATCAAAGTACAGACAACAAAAACCTTCTGATTTTTAAATCATGATCAAGATTAATTAAAAAAAAAACATATGGTGCATGGTATTTTTTGTCATTTGGTCTCTGGTGGAGAGTTGTTTCATTGGCAATCATATTACCACATCTTATTTTTATAAGGTGTTCAATCAAGATATAAATATATACAGAATTAGTAACATAAAAGATCATGGGGCAAAGTTTTGAGGAGTAAATAATAGATGTAACATGCTTTGTTCATAAAATTTATATTAATTTGTTATTATTACCTTTCTCTGCATGGAATCCCAAGCGTCAGTAATCAGCCTGTTTGTGGAGTTGGATCTCACATCATTTCCATATTGTAATCGGATTGATCTGATCATTTTTTGTGACATGTCATCTCTTAACTGAAAATATACATCACAGATATTCAGTTTTGAAAGAAGAAAACTAATACAAGATTTTGTATCACACCCTATTACCAGCTATTGGTATGGCAGATGCAATAGGTAACAAAGATCAAAATCGGCTGTTCACTATTGAAGAATCCACTGTATTGCAATGGCAATTGGAAACCCAGACCAAAATCTGGTGTAAACTTAGCAAAAACAATTGTCTTTAATAGCAATGAGACACACAGATCCTTTGTACTGATAGACAATAGTAGGTTCTGCGTATGAAACCCAGAATTTGATGATCTAGTGATCACAGATACCCCCTACACTTACATTAATCATTAAAGTATGGCTTATCAAAACCCAGGTCAACTTGCATTGCTATGTCCATGACATTGTGAAAACTGGAAAGTAATGGAAACTCTTTAGGCCAGAAATTTCTTTTAAATCCTAGATTCCTATCCTTCCCCACCTCAATTTTTTTATTTAGATTATTAGCCATTTTAGTTTATTTTAGAAGTTTTTACAAATTATGGCCCACCACAGTTTTTCAAAAAAGTTGGATTAAAATCTAGGAATATTTTTAATTAACAAATTTCAAAGTTCATGACATTGGCTTAAAATTTTAAAAAGAGTTATTCTAGTCAAACATTAATCTCCATCTCAAAGAATAAGTGAAAAAACAGATAGACTAAAATTAGGACCCCTATCCAACCTCAACTCTGTCCAGCAAGGGTATAACAAAAGTGATAACAATTTAAATAACCAAATGTCTATCTTTTCTATGTCTATTTTTGATTTGCTGATATTTTTTGGTTGTGCCCTTTTTGACATCTCCTCATCTCACTTTATTCATAATATAAATATTTCAGGCATTACTGTAAATCCAGAAATCATTGCCAGCATTTATTATTGCCATTGTTGGACAACTGGCAAAAATGTGAGTTTCTTTTTTGCAATTTGAGGAAATGCTGTATACAAATATTGTTTTATTTTTGAGACATCTGTCCACATTGCAATTTTATTAAAATAAAAATATTGCAAAAATTTATGAAATTACAGTATATCAAACTGTTCATAGGTGCATTAAAAATAAGTGAAATGCTTGTTCATTCCTGACATATCATTAACAAGATGAACTTACTTTTAAACCAAACCGTTTGTTAATAGGATGTTTGTTTACAGTATCACGAACTCAAAATAACATCATATAGTCTTAAAATAACAAATATCTTAGAATCAAAACATATGTTACAATTTCCGTGCGAATCATCTGTATTTGAGTCTGTACAACAATTGAGATACTTTAACAAGATTAACCAGGGATATCTTTAGAGATCAGATTAGGTATACATGTAAGAAGCAGTTTGAGAACTTTAGAACCAAATTCACTGGTCATTTCATGACATCTCTGGTACATATTAGTTTGCTCATATGCAAATAAGCACAGAAAAAATACCATCATAAATATTTTCTTATAGTCCATTTTTTTTTTATTCAATTAGTTCAGTTTCAAATGATTTTGTATTGAATACATTTTTCATCAATAAAACTTGCTACCATTAATATATCAACTGGCTGATTGATTTTTTTAAAGTTAAATGGCAGTTTACAACATTCAGATCTATATTGATTTCAACATAATTAGACACTTCCACAAATAAAATGTTTAACATTTTTTATTTTTCATCATTAAAAATAAATTTTTCATCTGGTTTAAGTTAAGTAAAATATACTCTCTTGGTTATAGCAGAGAATGTATACTATAATTCAATGTTACAGTTAATTACATCAGATATACATATAATCTAGTCAGTCAAGTTTCATCTGAACATTCATTATATACCATAATACAATTACTTGCTCACATGGTAACTTTCTACTTTCTAAAGAATACTTAACCTGCATTTCTGTTTGATATTATGTAAGAGAATATAATGTAATTTGGTAGTTTCTTTGTCATCTTTGATTGGTTTGAGTTCACTCAGCCTTTTGTTATTTGTAATTTTTATAATGTTTTGTCATAATCATAGGGATTCCTTTCTGTTTTGCTTTACTAGTAATATATCTAACCTCCTCAAAAGTTTAATACAGCTTTTGACAAATTCATCCAACACATTCATGCAGCATGACATTATCATAATTAATTAACATACACGGTTCAATTTTTGCAAAAGCATACAATACATAATAGCACACAAATTAAGATTTATTTTGTATATGTTTGTTTTGCTTAGATTTAACATTTCAGTATTCAAAAAAATTGGGTTTTATATGTGGGTTGTTTCAGCCTAGTTCACATGAATATGTTTTTTTGTCATTTTAAGTTTGTGTTTGATTGAATACTTGCTTGGATCAATAACTTGCATCTGACATTAAAGATGTCAACATCACCTATTTATAGAACGTCATGTTAAGTACTTGTTAATGACATTGTTTTTCAGTACTTATTGATAAAACTATAATCAGAAATTACTTGAACAGTATACAAAATTAAAGCAATCATTATAATTTTATGTACACATATATCAATATTTGTTATGTGGACTTGTGTGTTTAAGGTATTTTATTTATATACTGTAAGAGCAATTTCACTCTTGGTTGCTTTTTATTGTTTCTTTTACTTGAGGAAAGTAACTTAAATTTCTGGGGCTCTTTCCAAAAAAAAATCTTTTGACAATAATTGAAGTTCTGAAAATGTTCAATACTAAAAAGTATTTTTTGTGGTCAGGTTTTTTGAGAAGAGTCACTGGTTTCAAACTTGACAGTGATAGAAATGAATGAAAATTTTTTCATTGGGTATTATTTCATGGTTACAATCAACAATGAAATCCAAGAATAATAATAATATTAAGACAGCATCAATTTGTCATTGTACTTTCTAATGTAATCCAACTCTGATGCTTACCGTTGCTTTGAATGTAAATGCAAGAACTCCACCAACACAAAGAGCACACAAAACTAATAGTAAAACTACTCCATACTGTAAATAGAAATACAGAACCATTAGTACATTAAAGTTTTCTGAACACAAAATACTAATTTCCTGTCAACATAAACAAGATATATGTTAAAATATAATTGAGTTAATAGAAATGTCTATTTTTGTGAGGCGAAAAAAAGAAACGGAAAAGAGGAGAATGAAACAATAAATTTACATTTCAATCAGTCAAACATACAGGAATATTCTTGTTTGCCAATTTGTATAAAATCTCTTAATAAAGTTTCTGAATGGATGAAAGTTTAGAGGAGATCCCTAAAACATTTTAAACCAATAAATAAATTGATATCAGTAATGGATTGTTAGATCTGTTTAACATATATTTGCACTATATGAACCAAAGTTCACTATTGTTTCACAGTAACTGATATACAAAATTCAAATAAGTAATTTAAATGTTTGTTTGATAACTTGTGTTGTTTGATTGCTGTATCATTGACATATATCTATCTAACAGTACTTTTGGTAAGCTAAGAATTATTGGAAATGCTATCTCAATTACAGTGTCTCTATGTTTATATTTGGTTTATTCTGGTGTTTTTTTTCAGGACTATTACTTTCTCCACTCTTTTCCATTTAATTCTTATACAAAGCTTTGACAGCCTACCATCCTTCAATTTCCTAGCACCCCTTCATTAAGATGTTCCAATATAGGAATATGAAGTAAGATTATGTAGTAGAGGGTAATAAATTAATTGATTGTTTGTTGCTTGCCAAATGTCCAGTGTAGTAAGATTGAATAACAGGGACTGTAGTACATGTATTTGAAATTGATTATGTAATACACATTTTAGTAAGAATCGTGCTTAAACTCTTTATTGTAGAGGATTGAATTTTATTTTCATTCTTGCATGAAAACAGGCAGATGATGTTCTTAAATTGACAGCTAACAACTAACTCATAAACTGTATTGTTATCCATAATGTACCATGTTTGATAATCAGACCACAGAGATGTTAAAAATAATAAATCCAAGGCTATTTAGTACACATGGACATTTATTTTTCTGGGAAAAACCTATTACATTGTATATCATTTCAATTTTCCCTGAAGATTGTGTTTTCCAATAGCTTTGATTTTTATTACATAGGCAATGATTGTTCAAATATTGTTTGTACATATTTATGTCTATCAATAAAAGGAATGATTTCCTGATTTATACCATCTAAGTATGAAGGAATTGGAATCAAAATGTCTGGAGTACAGCCACGTTATTATTTATGTCAGGTTCACTATATTATAGAGTTTATAACATGTAAGGATGAAGGATTGTGAATCAAAATGTCTGCAGTACAGCAATGGTATCATATTTATGCCAGGTTCACAATATTATAGAGTTTATAACATGTAAGGATGAAGGATTGTGAATCAAAATGTCTGCAGTACAGCAATGGTATCATATTTATGCCAGGTTCACAATATTATAGAGTTTATAACATGTAAGGATGAAGGATTGTGAATCAAAATGTCTGCAGTACAGCAATGGTATCATATTTATGCCAGGTTCACAATATTATAGAGTTTATAACATGTAAGGATGAAGGATTGTGAATCAAAATGTCTGCAGTACAGCCATGATATTATTTTTATGTCAGGTTCACTATATTATAGAGTTTATAACATGCAAGCATGAAAGATTATGAATTAAAATGTCTGCAGCACAGCCATGGTATCATATTAATGTCAGGCTCACCATATTCTATAGAGTGAATCTCATGTGTACATGTTCTCTTTATTAGATTAAAAACAAAGTTGACAATCGATAAATCCTCAGCATTAATGCTCTCAACTCTGTATTGATAATTCTACACTGATTTGATTGTTGATATCTCATTTAAAAACAACATTATAGAAAATCTTAAAGATTAAATGGAAGGATTAATGATTTTTTTATGTACAAAAATAGCAAATATTAGAAACGATTAGGTGTGTCATTTATTATGAGCATTAATTATTAAAATGATCAATCAGTCTGGATGTTATACCTGATTATTAGTTGGACTAAGCCTTTTTTAATTGGGTAAAAAAAGGTAATCAGAAATTAGTATAACAAGAATGACAGTGTGATTCATAACAACATAATAAACAACTGTGCCAGGAGTGCATGATATGCTTGTCTCCAGCAATTTTTATCAAAAGTACTGTAAAGTATTTAAAAAAATCAGGAGAAAATCATTTAAAAAAATATATCTGGTAAACAACTTTTTTTAATTTGGAAAAGTAAGAAGTCAATTCTCAAGGCATACTTGAGTAAGTGTGTGGCTTGTGTGAAAAATTGCTTATTGCAGGAACTCTAGAGCCACAAGAAAGAAAATTATCAAAAGGTATACAGATCTCATAGTTATCTTAAATTTTTTTGGTAAAGTTTGAAGTAAATCACAAATAGCAAAATGAGAAAGGTGTGAAATGTGCTTTTTTTTCTAAGATGAAAAGTCCCACAACTTTTGAGCAACAAAAGTGAAAATCAACAATTAGAAATCAAAGCCTCACACTTACATTCTGAATAATTTGTTAATTTGAAGTAAATCTCTGTAGAAATACATGAGTTTGTACAGGACATGTTTAATATGCAGGTTGGATGGACAGACAGACAGAGAGACATCAGTAAAAAAAATGTATTTCATAATATGTCCATCTTTTACAGATATAAAAATATAAGCTTGTAAATCAAATAAAATGCTGAAAATATAAAAAGTAAGTAGTTATAGTAGTTTTTTGTTTTGATATGAAATTCTCCGAAACATTTACTGATAAAAAGTTACACAATAATTTTGTCCTGATTTGACCACAAGGAAAATAAAATTCTATATTAGGATTTCAGATAATCTATTCACAGAGGGTGCTAACATATAGGACTTGTGATTTAATGAAGTTAACCATTTGTTGTATTGAACCATTGGTTAGATTAAATGAAAATAGAAATACATTGTATTTTAACTGACTGTACATGTAATTGTAATAAGTTTAATTAAGTTTTAATTAACACATCTCCCACAATGCAAAGTCCTGTCTAACTGAAAAATCACTAGCAGGCCTCACTTAATTGCTTTGCTTACTGAGTCATATTATATTTTACTTCTTCCATTTTTGATTTTTCATGGATAGGACCATAAATTTTGATTATTAAATAATCAACTAAAAACTATAAATTGTTCACAAGGTGTGTTTTTTATATGTTTACCTAGATGTTACTTTTATATTGAGATAGTTACACACTTCACTGAAATTACTGAATACACCCTTTTTACATTTCCATTTAGACCAAATGTAGAGATGTTTTAAGTATACTGTAGTAAATATGATCTTCTGACAAATTCACAAATGTTGGAAGGTGTGGGTTGAATTTCACTTTTTTTTATTGACTGTAAATCTGATTATACTATTTGTAATACTATAAGGCAAATCCAATGTTTAAAATAGATGATCTCATAAATATTTTAAATAACTTATATTCCAACAGCTAGTATCCTTAGTTAATAAATGTGTCAATGCACTAAATCCTTCAATTATGTGCATCTAAAATATACAGTCAAAGGTGTTTATACAGTCAAAGGTGTTACGAATTTAGATGAACTGGCAAAATTCCACTATGTCTGTAGAATATGCCTTCAGCACAGACCATAAATATTTCTTACCATTATAATCATTTAAAACCTAGTTGACTTTTTACAATTCCAATACACTTTGCTTTCGTATTGGATTATTTTGTTTTTAATATGATTAATAAAAGAACTTTTGGTGCATAATTGGACTGAAATAAGATTTGTTACAATCAGCCCTCGAACTGGTTTTAATAATCCCTTTTTAGTATATAAAACAATTAAGTAAAACATTTATTTCTAAACCTCCTGCAGGTAACCTCAGACTAAACAATACACAATTGTTAATGTTATTAATGAGAATATTATAAAGTCAAAAGCTAACAGCTAAGGAAAAAATCTATAACATTTACTTATTTTCACCCCAGTCAATTTAACACAAAATTAACGTTTATTTGGTATGTAGATTGTATTATACAGGAAATTTGTTTGTTTTTAAGTTAAGCAGAACAGAAATAGTTGTATTGAATATTCAATAGTGTAACATCTCTACCTGGAATTTGTCAAAGGCAGAAAAAAGCAGCAGCTTGAAGCAACAATCAATAATATAGCAATCGATATCTAAAATTCTCCGCCACAACTTAAATTGCTTTTTATATTTGGTAACATGACATCTTACGTTCGATTGTAAATTGTACAACAAATTAGACCATGGTAGTATTATATAGTTTAAAAACATAGTACTTCCATGATTAGACGAATATAGAAAACATCAAATACAAAACCCTAATCGTATCACATGTTAGCTTGTTTATTTTTTTTTAAACTGAAATCCTTCTATGTTTTACTTCTGTGTAGTAAAAGGCTGTAGTATTGATTTTTATAGTTTTGTTAATAGGCATTCAAAATCCAACCAGGAATGACAGTTATTTTTGTTAATCTGTAGATAATGGTCTCCCACCTAGGGCGGTAGGATAGATTTAATACCTAGTCAAACAAATGTACTGCAAAAAATAGTCTAATATACATTATGCAATATTAAAAAATAGTGAATTAACTTAGCTAAAATAAAATAATGAGCTATGAAAAAGAATAGACTTCTTTCTTATTTTAGTTTCCAAACAGATTAATATATACATTTACATTATTTGTGCTTCAATTCATGTTCTTAAATTTTTATTTACTGGTATGTTTGCTGAATGGTAGATCTAGTCTTTTTTATCCTAGGTCTGTAATATTTGTCACGGAATATTGTCAAATAGTTTATACTGTCAAACATCTGCATAAGTGTGTCTTTTTCATTAAAACTCTTTTTTGATATTTGTATGGACATTTAGTGGAGAGATTCAACCTCAGTAGGAGTAACAAACAAGTGAAATGATGTAAGTGTTTGGTAAACAGGAAGTTGTTGAGTGATCAATCTGAAAACACATCACACGGTATAGCCGACTTAAATAAACCCTGAAACCAAATTTCAGAAATCCATGTATTGTAGTTCCTGAAAAGAATGCGACGAAAAATTTTCATGGGACGGATGGACGGACTGACGGATGGATGGACAGACAGTGGTAAAATAGTATACCCCCACTTTTTTAAAGCGGGGGTATAAAATAAGATTTTTCTTCATAAAAACCCCATTCCAAAAACTAATCCCGAAACAAAATAATTCTGTGTATAAATTCAAGACAGTGCTAATATGGAAGTCTTTTTATAATTTGCAAAAACTCATAGAAATGCTTTTTGGGGCATTGATAGCTGGACTACTTTTAAAATAATTTCAATCAATCGCTTGTAAAGTATCTAAATACTGTATTAGAGTAGAGCTATTTTCAGGGATAGGGACTCAGGAATAAAACCTTTGACACTTACAAAACCAAGTATACATTTATCTTCCCTCATGGTTCCACAGCAGCCACAGAATGCTAACAAAGCTATCAGTCCTCCACCACCTAATATTAAATATGTCCCAATTTCAAATAAATTTGTATGAACTATAACAGAAATTTCTCTTGCACTAAAGTCTGTCACTAACAACCACACTCCAACAGCTAAAGCTCCACATCCCATTATCTGTAAAATAAAGTTTTTAAAGTTATTGTGCAAATGATTGAAATTTCAAAAATAACAATAAAATCATCAAAACTATTCTCTATCTCTGCCCAGACAAAATTTTAAAGATAATTAGAGTAGATTAGATTCATGTATAACCATATAGCAAGGCTTCAATTTCTATTATTATTCTTGTATTTCTTTCACTACAATCAGTGTTTCATTGGCCAACTTTTCTTTTTTTCATGAATAAGTATTCTTATTTAAAACTTTCTTTTTTTTGTTTTGAGCAATATTAGGGTCAAATATTTTGGTCATTTGTTCATTTGTCTACATCAGTGCCGATATATTTGTTACTATACACATGATAAAATAGAATTTGTATTTAATCTCTTGCTGTGTGGGCTTGTTTAAAAAATGAAAATTATCACTTTTTTGGATAAAAAATCATATAACAAAACTTCATTGCTCATCAGTTGAAGAATACTAAGCCTTTAATTTAAGAAAGAATTAGTGAGGTCAGAATGGTTTTTCTTCAGTTAAATTCATTTCAATTACAATATATAAGTATACAACTGATAAATTTTAGTAGTGACTTGTTACAATAAGCAGTGTTGTAAATCACAATAAGATTCTTAACCTTCCAGTTATAAATGACAAATTCATTTATATTTCCTTTGTTTACCTTTCTTAAGTTTTAAAAGTATTAAATATGGGTCAGACTTGATGTTATCATCCATGTAATATCAATGCCTTAGGCAAAGTGAAATCCCAAAGTCAATGATATTCAGTACATACTTAAAAATAATAAAATATCAGCATTTTTTTGTTTGTTTATAACATGTACTTTGTTAAGTTTGATAAAGGATTGTTATAAGACCTACAAAGCCACAGATCTTACTTTTCTAATTGACGTCACTATATGAGAAAATATCATTGAGGGAAGAAAAAAGGTGGGATAAATGAAAATCACTCAAGTAATATTTGGGTAATAATAAATTAGAAATTTTATTACTGTTCATCATATAAATCTACCCTATTTCTTTTAATTTTTTATGGTTATGGATATAAAAAAGAATGTGAAATAGGTATATTTCACCATGTCCTTTATGGTTTTAATGTGATTAAGGTTCCAGACTGATTGATGCATATCCCAAATCACTTTTTATTCATACCACATGATCATATGATAGAGACTATAACCTTGTTTGAATAAACAAATATAAAACCACACACTTTACCTTTATTATTATTCATTACTAGAGGGCATTGCTTAATCAAGTCTTGCTATATAATCCTAAATATAAAGATCAACCAACTATCTTTAGCTTTTGACAGTTCACTGATCCAAATAAAAATTAAACTCATTCTTTTTCAATGAAAATGTTATTTCTAAAAACAGGGCGAAAAACAACATCACACAAGTTAAATTTAAAGTCCAAAGTAATATCTAGCAACAAAGGTATTTAAAATCTGAACAACAATACAAACTGAGATTGGGGACCTTCTTAGCTTGTCACACTTTAAATGATTGTAAACACAATACACATTATCTGATTTTCCCAAAATTTATTGTTGACAATATGTTGAAATATATGTAAACAATTGCAAATGTCCAGTTTTTTCTGGATCATAATAATCTTTAGACTCAAGGTTGTCAATGCCTTATGCTTTATTCACCCTTGACCAGAGGATTTATATATTCAGATATAACGATTGGCGCTAAACATCCAGAGGCAAAAAAACAAATTTAATGTACATGTATATTCAGGATGATCACATTAATGTCATATGAAAAATACATTGCTTTGTATGGGACAAATATGCTCAAGTTACTTTTTTAACACAACAGCTTAAAAAGGTAAAAGTCTGTAGTAAAATACTGATACATTATTCTTACTCTGAGCCAACCAGTCTGTGCTTTTACAACGAAAAGCTACTTGCTAAGTTCAGAAGATGCAAGTACCAACTTTTAAGTCTTTGATTTGACTCAAATAGGGATCAAAGCTATGTCTTCACTCAAGATTGGCAGATTATGACAGGATCAAAGAAGGTGGTTATACTAAGAAATAAAGCAGAGTTCTTTCAAACTTAAAATAATTTGACAATTGTTTTAGCATCTTATGTTGATTTGTCAATATTTTAGTTATGATGTAAGAATGTACTGTTGTTTTTGTCTGTCAAGTAGTTATGTTAGTACAAGGTAATTGTGTTAGTAAAAACCAACACTTTTATGTGAAACTTAAAAGCTGCAGGTTCAGTGTTTACAGTACCTGTCAGATGCAAAGCCCAATATATTAAAATGTGGTTATGCATTTGTAAGTCAAAACATAAAGGTAAAGGATTCTGCATTTCTTACTATTGTTTGTTCATGTCCCTGAAATCATAACTAGACTCTGATTATGTTATAATCCACAAATGAAATTTAAGTGGATAATTCTCTTGCATTTATTCCAGTGATGTGGTCTCAAATGTAATTGACTTCAATATAAATCTCAAAAACTTACTAAAACAACAATATTATAACAATGTAGAGCACTTCTGAGACATTTAAAACATGGTGTTTGTATTTCCACTGTTGTAGACTGTCTCCTGTACAGCCGAGGATCTTTATGCTTCACGTAACCATCGTCCCGATGGTTCATGTCCATGGAATTGGCTCGTTTATGTTTTAATGGCTGCAAAATACAATAATGCGAAACATTACAATAAAGTGATTGCAATTTGTAAAATAAAATGTGTTATACAATTATCACCAAACTTCTGTTCCTTTCTCAGTTGTCTTTTTTTCAACCAAAATTAGATATTTCAATGATAACAAATCAGTGCTTCTTGGCTTATTAATAAAGTAAGCAAGTCCAAAATACCATAATTTCTTCATGAGCACTTTTGACAATATGTCAAAATAAACATTAAGCTTTTTTTAATATAGACAAATGGATAGGATAATTGTTTTCATATTATGTTGTTCAGCATTAAATGCAACAGTGAACAACCATGCAACCTGGATTTTGTTTGAGTTGTAAACAAAATAATATATCTAATATATCTCATACTTAAAAATGTCACCTATAAATATCACCTATAAATATGCATATTTATTGAGAACAGAAGTTTTCATTTAAAATCTTTAACAGAACAAATGTACTAAATATTTACATGTGTACAACTAAATGATCAACAATAATCTATATATATATGGGAGTTTTTAATATGTTGTCAAAAATATACTATACCATTTATCTATCTTATCTGTTCAATATATGTAACACAAATAACTATCAAACACTTGAGCTTTTCCTTATATATATCAGGGTGTATTTAATTTCTGTCAACGTAAGTTCAATCCAGTATTGCGAAATACTGGAGTAGATAACAAAAGGCATATTAATCTCGAGAGGTTATGAGCCCTGATTTTTGTTGATTTAAACTTTTAATTTCACACTGACCACTAGTTTGTTGTTAAATAATCCACTACATGTTCTCTCAAAAAGTTTATCAAAACTAGATTGTCTATTTTTAAGTAAGGATATGAAAGTATGGAGTAAACTTATGAAAGTTATTAAAGCAATAACTATATCTTTGATCTGGGTTTGCTACAAGAAAACAAAAAATCTAAAAATAACATTTGTATACAGAAATAACATCTTTAGAGAGACATTTATTGACTTCCTTTTAGAGAAATTCGGGTTTATTTTCTTGTTTTATTTTTATTTTATCAGTTGGCCAATTCAGAATCTTGAGAATTATACGTTAATGTTAGGACGTTGTGGAAGACATATATTGTTACAACCAATTATAGCATTTTAAAAATACTACCCACAAAACATTCGATTCTGAAACTGAGCACTGTAACAGCTTGCATAATATTAGTATGCTTCACCCTCTCTATCATACCTCGTAAGTTGTTATGAAAGTAAGGAATTCTTGTTTCATCCAATGAATATGATTAATTGCTGGACAAAAATATGTAAGACGTGTCTGTGATTATATGTATGCACGTGAATTAACAACAAAAAAAACAACAACAAAACAACCAAACAAACACTGATAATTTAAGTTAGTATAAGAAAACGACACTATTCTTTTCCCAAATCATAACAATAGAGTTGACATACTCTTGCTGATCTTATGTTGTAAGCTATGACCTAATATACCTGTTATAAACATAAGCATGTATATAAAAACTGACCAACGATACCAGCCTCGCGTTTTGTCTACATAAAGCGTCAAACCATGTAGACCTTTATTGGTAAAGACCGACCGTTAATTTCTTAACAAACGCTGCGAATAGCGATACAATGGGCATATTTTATTGAACAGGATATTATTTTAGGAGAAATCGGATGTTGTTTCTTACAGAAGTCGTCAGTATATCCTAAAACATAGTCCATTGGTGTTTACTGCAGAGTAAGATAAAACTCTTAAAATCAGTAAATGTAAATGATCAAAAGAAAAATAATTAAAAACAAGAATGTGTCCATAGTACACGGATGCCTCACTCGCACTATCATTTTTTATGTTCAATGGACCGTGAAATTGGGGACCAAAACTCTATTTTGGCATTAAAATTAGAAAGATTATATCATAGGGAACATGTGTACTAAGTTTCAAGTTGTTTGGACTTCGACTTCATCAAAAACTACCTTGACCAAAAACTTTAACCTGAAGCGGGACAGACGGACGGTGAGGCATAAAAAGAAGCTTGCTTTACTAGAAATTTAAGTACACGAGGAAAACTATAATAATACAAATTCTATAGTGCACTGTCCCTTGGTGTCTTTTGAAGTTGAGCAACCTCCTTTAATAAACAAGAATGCTTTATTTCAATCTAATCAAAATGTAGATCTCTTTATTTCGTTATGTTCTTAAGAGTAAGCGAGTTTCGATAGATCTAAAATTTAATCAGATTAGATTTATTTAATTATTTTGTCATTTTTTTCTCTTAATGAATCGGACAATGATGTTGTTTGTTCACCAGGGTAACATTGCTGGATAAAACTATCTCGCTCATTTTACTATATTCTATATACACATGTATATGTAATACAATCATTTCTAATATCAGAGACATATATAAGTACTAGTACTATATCTGTCTCTGCTAATGTATAATAATACAACGTACATGTAAGTATTGTGTTTGTTTGCTTCCATTTTGTAAATAAAGATTGCTGCTTGTAAATACTGCATGTGGGATATTGATCTGAACAACAACACCTTTGCTTTGTCGTGGTTCATGAGCTAGTTTTCAGATTTTTTTTTATCTCAAATTGTGTACATAAACTTTGTGCGCAGGAATTCCTAATGTCACATAAAATCCGGAAATTCCGTTTTCAATGTAGATAAAGTTTAAGCAAACACTTAACTAATCAAGTTTTAAACCAAAAATTGAACAGTTTCAAGAAATTGTATTTGACTGGTATTTGTATGGAAGGGACGTCTTTCTGTTGATTGCCTTTAACAAAATATTAGACACGGCACTCTTGCCTGTCCATCATCCGTTTTATTTGTATCATTTGGTATCATGGCTTTGATTTGCTTATTTAACAATACCTAGATATATATCTTAATCAAATAAACCCTCATTTGAAGGTCGATTAACGAACCCCCGCCAAAAATTGTCGCCCTCGGTAGCTTGCCCGTGTTGAGATTGGTAAGACAAAGGTACGACTCCCGATCGCTTCAAACTAAAAACTCTAATTTGATACCTATCTACAAGGCACACTGTATTTAGGGTTTAGAGCAAACACTGGTCGGTTCGTAGCCAGAATTGTATGCAGGTAAGGTGAAATGTCTTCCTGAGGACTGACACTATGTGAGCTAGAACTTCAATAATCCGACGCAACCCATCGGTTGAGTACAAAGCTTTGTTCATGATTATCCCACATTAATATTTTTCACATTTGTTTTCACATACTAGTACATTATTATTGTATTATAACATTTTTTCTGTTTATGAGAATAGAATATTCGTATTGGTATACATTTTTAATTTTAGTTCTTTTATATATTTTGGAGTTTAGTATGACGTCCATTATCACTGAACTAGTACACATTTTTGTTTAGGGGCCAGCTGAAGCACGCCTCTGGGTGCGGGATTTTCTCGCTGTGTTGAAGACCCATTGGTGGCCTTCGGCTGTTTTCTGCTCTTTGGTCGGGTTGTTGTCTCTCTGACACATTCCCCATTTCCATTCTCAATTTTATGTCATCGACCTGAATATGATTATAATAGTTCCCACTGGATGTTAAGCATTAATAATCAATTAAAGTCATTGTTTTAAAGTACTTTCAAAAGAGTAAAAATTAAACTACGACTTACACAATGTTTAAGTGTGAGCGGAAACCGTAAGTGCTCCATATCGTTCCATGTTAACGTACCGGAAAAGGTAAGCTTAGACCCTTACGATTTACGCATTTTGTTTCTGACTATATTGTAAGGGACCACAAAGTAAAGTTGTAAAGTAAATGAAAGGGGTGTGTCTTCACAGCGTCGACTTTATTACAATGAAATGTCAGAAAATTCGCTTAAAATCTTTAACCGACATCTACATTTTATTGATATTTCAAATACTGTCATTACTTATCCTGACTATTTATGTCAAGATGGTCGTCCAAATACAAATGATTATTTTTTTATCAAGTACTAGCACGTGTTCAAATGAAAAAAGAAATACAGACCTCTTGAACTAGTGGATAATTCCATTTTTAAATAATTTTGAAGTAGCCGCAAACATAATTTTGTCGAGTGATCGCAGAGAACAAGTTCAAAAAAGGTTCATATTGTGTTTAGCAATTGACATTTTACAATATCAATATGATGTAATAACAATCGATTTATCGGATTGTATTTTTGTGTTTTTCATCAGCAAACCGGAAGAAGTCTTGATTAGATGACATGGGTTCAAACATTATGACGTCAGTGATGATCGAGTCCAAATGAAATTTATTTAGACCGGGTCGACGTATTTGACGTCACAACGCCGTGATATGAATTTTTATGATGATCTGAGCAGAGATATAGCTGACTGCACGGTATGAGTTTTGACCATTGCTGAAGGAAGTATAGTGACCTATAGTCTTTTAAATCCGTTTCATCTGGACTCTGTTGGATAGTTGTCGCGTTGGCAATCTTAAATTACCACATCTCGTTATTTTATTTTGATACAGGCAGAGAGAAGACCGACCAATTTTAAAACATGTCGTGGAAACCACATCCAAACAAATACCTGCCATGCATATTATTCCCTTCTTACGTCATTAAACTTCACAAAATATCGCTTGTGTGCTGAAGGCGTTCGTGATACTTTGCATGTACCAAACATCCGCAAACGATAACCTATGTGCTTGACGAAATATATGTATACCGTAAACAACTAAATGTATAAGCATAAATTTAAATCTTTTGAACAACATGAGTATTTCGTGAAAATAAAGAAAAAAATAAAAAAACAAATTCTTAATGAACACTTGTCTTTTCTTTCGCGATTATACGTTAGATACTCATGACAAAAAATCAAGTAAATACTACAGTATTAAAAAATAAATGATTTCGGGAAGATTTTGTAATCAACAAAACATTTAGAAGGAAAACAAAGGCAGGACCGTCTTTTTCACAGGTACCACAAAAATGTTCTTCCAAATACTTATAAACATGGGTCGTTTGGGTGTGCCATTT